TTTCATCTGATTTGATAAAGTTTGGCTAGTCGCAAACCCACAAGGGATGGGTATGAGATTTCAGTCAACTCCCAACCACGAAATCAAAGGTAATCTTTTTTTCTATGAACAATGAATGGCGTTTGACCTCTTAACTTCTCATCTCCTTTGAGTATTCAGGATTAGTGTTCTTTCACTTTCTCAAATTTCGTTTAGTTAGGAAGCTTGAAGACGTATGCACATTTTGATAAAATAACTGATGTAGTACTCATGTCACATTTGACATTTTTTTGCGTTAATAACGCAATGGCAGGACTGACTCAAGGGATGGGTAAACGAACTTTTCAAAGGGTAAGTTAATGAAGTGTTGTCGAAATTACAAAGCTGCACAGTAAAGAAGTTTTTGAGGGTACAGGGGAACACGAGTGTGCCATTCCTAGATCACGCCTGAAGAAGTTGAAGGATTCGAACTCCCTCAAGTAGCGTCACTTATTAACTTACAGAAGGGCTGGATGAAGGTTACTGTGGATTTCACCATCAGAACTTCACGCCATCAAAGGCAAAGGGGCCTGCGTGGTAGTTTATGCAACCAAATGATGCACCAGTCTATTGCACGCATATTAATGTTTACTTCACCAATTTTTATGGATTGTCAGAAGACAGGCGTTGCGTCAGCTGCCATCAAAATAAGCTGAAAATTTATCTCGAAATTTGAGGGGATGCGTTTCAGGGAATGAAAAGAGTGATATCAACCATTGCCTCCTTTCTTTCCAGCCCGAGCGTGCCGAGTTTGAAGAAATTGAAACAGTAACACTGCAGCCCATTGGTCGAGGTGTTCAAGACCTCAGCTCGAACATGGGATCAACCGCCACGTTGAACAGAAGTACCAGACGACCCGTCGCATCATCAATGCTTGAAGGTCTGTTTTTGGTAGACCTGAAATTGTGCGTTGGATTATGCAGTGTTGCATTGTAGGGACCGTATTTGCTGAATTGTGACCTCATGTAACCACAGCTCTTATGCTTCACCATTTAATAAGAATATTCATGCTGCCAGAAATGTCAGAAGGCTAGTAAGGTGCAAATCCCTTTTAGGTCTCAACAGGACGGATACTTACACAAACACCCGTCAGCAAAGGGTCAACATGGCGTAAGTGATGAAAGCTAGGCACAAAGTTGAAAAGAAATCAAACTCAGTAGGAACAGCTCCACGTCAGGCAAGATTCCATCACTCTCGACACTCCCATGAGCGATTATCTTGGTGCCTGAATGGCAAAGTTTTGGCATTTCGAACCACTTAGAAGTAGGCAACAATAAAGCCATAGTGAGACCTTGTCCTGTCTCAAAAATTAACTTCGCTGACAGTAAGCATAAAAGTTGATGAGGGCCATAAATATAGATGGCAAACGACCAAAACTTATTGAAATATTTGCTGACAACTGCATAATGAATATGTTGTAGATTACCTATTTTCCAGGTGCAAGATGTGCACTTAAGATGTGAGGTGGCTCTGCTTCTGGAAATGGGTCCTTTAGGTGCCCTGGGCTAAAATAGCTGAATTAAGTGCGCCACTTCAACCCTATTCCTTGAAGCAAAGGCGTTCATAGTTGTTGAGCGATTCAAGGGACAAGCGAAACACGCATGGACTTTCTGTCGCCAGTGGGATGCTTATTCACATAAATCTGAAGCAGATTTGCAGTTGAGTGTACTGTTAATCACGCTGCACCTTAAAGTATCAACAAGTGTCTCCTTCAGTCATTTAGAAGAAAGCGTTTCTATTTGTTTTCGCATCCATCGAACTTTGTACTTGTCTGATTAACCGGAATTCATGCATAGTATGTGGTTGTGCCGACTGTGAAATCTTTTAAGGAAGTATAGACAGTTACGCAATACGGTGGGGCATCCAGGGTCGCATCGCGGTAAGGGAAGGTCAGGGGATAACCACAAACGCGGCTGCAGTTTGTATGGCTGCGGGTCACGAATCTCGCCCACCGACAGCTTACCTCCGCTTTTCAGTCAACAGTGGCTTGCAACGCATGTTGAATTCTGGACTCCTTCAGCCCTGGCACAATATGAAAATAGTGAAATGTTGTCAGAATTCCAAACCCTAAGTGTATTGCTTTCTTTACGTTGATACGAAACGTTTCCATACACCTTTACCCTCTTGTAGAACATTTGGCCGTCAGACGTCGGCTATGGATATTCCTCAGACAATGTCTGCCCGACCACAACGTGCGACCTCAAGTAAGGCCAAAATGGCTTCAGAACTTTATTGAAGGAAGCAAAAAACATAAAGCAGCACAACAATGTCCATTCATGCTAATGTTATTGTACTTTATGGAGGTCTATCCTCCGCCTTTGGACGGAAATATTCGATAGCCAGAAGTTAGTTGATGTAAGAATGTCAGTCTGACAAGCGAAAATTAGAGTGTAAAAACACTTTGAACTTGGAAGTTCTTTTCACTTTGGTTCGCCTTTAGACTCCTTCCTTTCATCTCTGCGACGTCAGTCAGCAGGAACGGTGAGTGAAACGAGTAGTTTTCAACAACAGATGGCTGCTAATAAATCCACCAATTTTGATCCACAACAAATTCGCAACCACCACCACCACCACCAACAACAGCAACAGCATTCACAAATGCTGCAAACGAGTCACCAGAGCTCGAAGTACGCTGCTACCATTCAACAGCAGCCGCAGCCTCAACAGCATCCGGTGTTGTTCCACAGTCAACAGCAACAACAACAACAACAACAAGGCTCCAAAAATGATGTCGAATGGGCCAGTCAACAAAACAGTGCTTCCAGCACATTGACTACTAGTGGACCTGTTGACCTGGCTCTGGTTGAAGCCACATCACCCGTCTGGTATCGCCTCAAGATTTCTCGGCAGGAGGGTGAGTTTGAAACACAGCGTTCACTTCGTTCAATCCAAATTTTAACGCTGGCTCTAGCTTGCAGAAGAATGTGTAAACCTCGGTTCAGCTTTTTGGTGTTTTGTACCTCATGCATACTAAGATGACCGGATTTTTACTGAAACAAGTTGATAGCATTTTAAAGGAGGTGTTTGCTGTATTTGTGGTTCAATGTGAGGGGTCTTAACACTGTAAAAAAGTTTTGAGAACTTTTAAAGGCCACATTTATGCGCATAATCTGGATCGCGAAGTAAGGTAATTGCGAGTATTTTCATCTTTTTGCACTTCCGTAGCCATTTCGATCCTCAAAAACCAACCTCCTGGCAGTTTCCTTGTTCGGGACAGCACAACCTTTAAGGACGCCTATGGATTAGCTGTCAAGAGTACGAAGCCACCGAGCAAAACGGGGCAAAAATCAGGTACAGTCTTGTTTTGTTACGCCCTCTTTTCCACTTTTGGCTTGCAAATAAATGATAAATTTTGAGGAACAAATTGCCATTCACTCACCTGTCGCAAAAGGACATTAGCCCTTTAAGTGAGGAGGTGTATTAACAAGATTAAGTACAAAGGTAAAATTTGTCAGAAATGGGGTTATGTGGATGAAAAATTGAAATGCTTGTCAAGACAGCTAAAAATCTTGCATGCCTTCATATTAGGCCACAAAATTTCTTGGCAGCAGATTGTGCGGCACGTTTGTAAGGGCTTATTTATTGTTGCTTTTATGGATTTTCATCAATAAATTTTTTCCTCCTCATTCCCACCACGTCCTCCTCCTTCCACTATCCCTCTGTCAGGTTTCGCAAAATTCATGAAAAACATTCTCAGTAAGATGTGCCTCTTTGTTTACATTTTTTTGCGTGCTCATGCGCTATTTTGTTCGCGTTTACTTCGTCCTCACCTCCTTCTCCCCATTTGTTCCCCTTATGATCGAGGATTAAGCCACTAATTTCTAACTGCCCCCCATACTCCGCTGCAATCCTTGCTTTAACATCTTTTGCAGTTTAATTACTTATAACGCAAAAGTAGGAACTACTTATTCACTTTTGTTCCCGCTGTAATCGGACGTGCATACAAAGATGATGATACAGGGAAACGATCGTTGTCTGCGAAGGCACTGCTTGTTCACTGTGGCTTAGCCCAACAACCACCGAGGCCACTAGAACCGGCGCGTATGTTACTGCATCCATCACTCACTTGTGGAGTGAAAAATGAGATGGAGTTTGTGCTTACCTTCCACCCAGCAATTGCGCATTTTAGGTGTTGTAACTACCTTGTGTTTTTTGGTGTTGTGTGTGTGTGTGTGAATATTTTTCGCTTTTTACACGCACTGAAATTCCAATACCTCCAGAGCCGCATTTGCACTGCTCCCTTCAAAAACACAATCTACGTTGTGCTGTTGGATTCTTTTTCGCGCAAGCAAAGGCAATTTCGTGTCAAAACTACTCTTTTGCCTCTACTTTCCAAACGTCATGTTTTATGACACTAGAATTAACTTCAGTTTAGGCGAACTAAAAATGCGGTGCATTTCAGTTTTTGTTGATGGGTGATTCATGTCGCTTAAAGCGTCAAAGTTGCCACAATCAACTCGTGTTCACAGGCCATGGCTGGAAATGTAAAAACCACTGAACACAGATTAAAGAATGCCCCAAGTTATTTCACAAGTTGTTTAAATATGTCATTTAAACCCACTTTCGGTGCGGTGGTATTGGCGAAATATTTTGCTGATTATTTAAAATATGCAGGTAAGTGGAATGCTTGTGGTTGCCTTAGGGGACGCAAAAATTACCAACCGTGCATAAAGCACTGGCAAACGTTTGGTTTAAGCCTTTTGATGCGGCTGAGCTCATAGCCTTGGATCGGTGTTTTGAACGCTTTTGGTGCTGTGGAGCTGAGCATTTTCCCTATGATTGACTGCTCCATGAATGGTGCAGCTGTTCTCAACTCGAAAAGCTATTGATAAACGGATCACATCAATCTCTTAGGTGACCAGAAGCTTCGAGCAGTGCATTAAGTAAACTGGGTAATATTACTCTATCTCCATTCCCCTGTGCTTTCTTGCTCCCAACTCTCAAAACTAGTCCCACACAGTACTATTCGCAGAACAGTGCTGCTTCAAAACTGGAGAGGATTATTAAACATTAGTGTAGTTGCTGCCACTTACGGTCTGTCTCAATCAGTCGGCGGCGACAATTTAGTCTCTCAACTATCCAGCTAGCCGGTGCACGCATGCTGTTTGTGGACTGTTGCATGGGATAATGCTCACTTCTCGCCCTCTTCTGCCATTCTTCAATCACCTCAACACTTATACTGATCTTAAAAGGTTAGAAAACCTAGCACCTCCCTTTGTAGACGACATCAACAACGACTTGGTTCGCCACTACCTAATCGAAACGGTGACTACACCTAGTCGTGGCGTTCGAATCAAGGGTTTCAGCGCGGAGCAGGTCTTTCCCAATCTACTGGCTCTCATTCAGTACCACACTCAGTATCCAGTCGCACTGCCCTGCTGTCTCGTACTACCACCAGTTCCTCCCAGTCAGACCTGTCCTGTTATTACTGCTAGCAACTCCACTCTAGTGCGGAATGGCACAGGAAGTGGAAGCGGAACTGGGAATGGAGATTCAGACTCGGTGACTCTGGTGCAAAACAACGGTGTCCGGAGTTTGGATCAGACGTCCGTAAGCTTCAACGGAAACGCCGCAGCCACTGAGACCTTGGAGGCTCCGCCACCGGTGAGAAGTATCACTTCGCCCCTTTCGCCTACTGCAGGAATGTTCCACAGCGAACTGCTCAGTCCTCCACCGAGTATCTGTGAGTGATTTGTGGTCATTCCCGTGTCAGTTTTCTTCCATAACGTGGCACTTATTTTGGCTACTTTTTTGTGATTTTGTCAATTTTTTGTTAAAAAAGCAAGGTATTTGCTATGCCATAACAGAGGGGCCTTATAAGCAAAGCTCTAGCAACTTTAAATGCTTAGTCGGAGTGGATTCATCTTAGCGATTTTGGTCTGCTAATTTCAGCCTGCCGATGCTTACACCTCGGCGCAGTAGAGGTGGAAACGAGCCAGGAACAGGCGAGTCTGATGCAAGCGGTGGACACTCTGGTTCCAGGATCTGTGCTCCAGGCAGCCACATGTGATCAGATGGGGGCAGACAGTCCCGTCCAGTACACCGAATGTCAACTGCAGGCCGCGCACAACGAGGGGATCCTCCTAACTGATCTTTCGCGCAAACTATTCTTTCAACGACACTTCCCCGCCAACAGCTTCATCTACGCTGGCGTCGATCCCCGTGACAAAGCGTGCGTCTATTTCATTTTTCTCCTTTCTTATAGTCAGGGACGCGATGACGGTTTCATCACTAGTGCATTGAATAGCTACTCCACAATGGCGGCAAATTGAACCAATGTCAGGAGATTGAAAAGACCTACTCACTTAAGCACAAAATCTGGGCTGTAGTCGATATGCTGAGGTTCAACCTCTGCATTCTTCCCCCATCGCATGATGCGTGCCCATAACAATGCGAAAATAGTGCTCCAACCGAAAAGTTAGCTAAGGCAATTCAGTGAATCACAAAGGACAGGGTGTATTTACGAAATTGAATTCGCCATTTGGTTATATTTGTCGAATTGTCAGTGCTTCGCTGGGACTCAGCTAGCTATCTAGACTGGTCTCAGCTTCTCAAATTGTGGATATGTACTAGTTCTGCATTACGACTCAAAAAAACACATGGACATATTGCTCAATTTCGACTTTGCTCTTGACTTTTTAGTCCGGCAACTACGTTTAATCCAACTACGCTTTTCATGTTATGTTTTAGTTTTATCCATCCGAACCACTCAGCTCTGGGTCTGGATAAACCGAAGTAAGTTACCTGTAACGATAAATCGATGTTGGTGACATGAGATTTTCCTCGAAATAATGATCTTTTGCCTCTTATTTGCAAAGACTGTTTGGTTTCATAACAAAGAAGCTGAGTGGTGAATACATGGTCCAAGTGTTCTCTGAATTCGACGCAAACTGTAGCGCAGCCGCAGTCACTGCGCAGATCAACTCGCTTCTCCTCAATAAATGAACTTGTTCCTCGCCCTTCAAGCATCCCCATCCCCTCTCTCTTCCTCTCTCTCCCTCTTATTGCACGCAATTTTATGCCTTTTATGCTCTATCTCCTTGTCTCTCTACTACTCAAAACTGACGTGCGCCATTCGAAGTGATGCCTGTGAGACTTGTTGGTGCCACGCCTTAATGCTATCTGTTTGTTTATGAGTTATCGCTATGCTAGTGCTAGAATGTCCTCTCTGCTCCACCTCGTCCAAAAGTTATTCAGCACTACTCCTCACCTCCCTCCTCCTACTACAACTGCCACTGACCGAGTGAATTTGTAGATTTGTCGCGGTAATATGGCATGTGCGCCCCTCTTCCACTGTTCTATAT